CTAGAATTAAGAAGATTGCGAATATTGAAGGATATAGTTCCTTATTAGTCACTGCTAGAGACGACATCAGAGATTTGGGCTTTAAACACCGCCCGACACGATAATCTGTAAAGACTAAAAACTATCCGTAATTCAATTTCATTTTTTTTTTATGAAAAAAATGTGCAAGCAAATGATTTTTTGCGTAAAGGCAGCTACGCGCCTGACTAGGGTGCTACCCTGGACCAGCTGGGGACTTTGAGCGGCCCATAGCCTCCTCCCTTGCCGAATCACTATAAAGTCCACAAGTATTCACAAAATAGGAGTTTGGGCGTAAAGGAGTGATGTGAATTTCAAAAGCATGGCATACCGGGAAAATGCCCGAAAAAATTAATCATTTTCTGCATAAAATGGTCCAAAAAATATTTTCGCCTCGCTTCGCTCGGTGATCGTTATGATTGCACTTTATTTAAGTCCAGCTACGCCCCTGCTCTAGTATTGGTTTATATACATGTCAAGTATAAACTTTGAAATCATAACGGTTCTCAAGATATAGAGCGGACACGATCTTTACCATAAGACATGGGGTTGTCAACTAAAACCAAAGTTTTTGACCTAGGAAGTTTTACATACATTATGACACACCCTCTGGTGTAGGCTAATATACATGTCAAGTATAAATTTTGAAATCATAACGGTTCTCTAGATATAGAGCGGACACAATTTGTTACGGACGGACAGACTGATCACTATAGGGCATCTGCCATTTGGCAGGGCCCTAATAATATTCAAGATAATAACCACAAACTGCAAAATATCTTTAAAATGCCCAATTCAGGCGCAGCAACCCAACAACTGGTTGACTGATTCGTCTGAAAAATACAGGGCGGACAGATCTCAACCTGATAAACATTTTTATCCATGTCAGATTTGCTCTAAATGCTTTAGTTTCAGAGATATAAGCCAAAAACTGCATTTTACCCCTATGTTCTATTTTTAGCCATGTCAGCCATGTTGATTGGCAGGCAGGGTCAACGGACACATTTTTTAAACTAGATGAGTTTGGTTAAATTTGGCCAAGTAGTTTCAGAGAAGATTTTTGTAAAAGTTAACGAACGACGATGACAGACATTGGACGCCAAGTGATGAGAAAAGCTCACTTGGCCCATTGGGCCAGGTGAGCTAAAAACTGAATGGGTCTATGAATACATATGCTACAGAAATTTACCCAAAGGAACTTACTTTAAATAAATAAAATATAAACAGTTATAACGGTCCTTTCTTAGATTTAGATATTTAGTTTTACGCAAGAAACTCTACACTAAAATTTTCGACAAAAGGGACGATTTTTCGTTCCCTATTATTTTTTTCCTTTTTTGGACAGTGATGTTCCTTTGGCACCATCTTACGGTGTTTATATATCACAACTAGTTCGCTATGCCCGTGTCTGTTGTGACGTTTTGGATTTCAATGAACGTTATCTATGTATTACTGGTAAATTATTAAGTCATGGATGTCGTTACCACAGATTACTTAAAACCTTTATTAAATTTTTCCATAGATATAAAGATTTGGTTTGGAAGTTTGGTTGTACCTGTCGAAAACTTATTTCAAACGGGATAGCACATCCTAATTTTCACGGAGATGTTGTTTACCGAGCCCGAAAATTTAGATACGATCAGGGTAAAATTATCGAACCTTTAAATAATCTTATTCTAAAAGGATACCAATTCAACACTATAATCAGAGCTTTGAATATTGTTTTTATTGGTATTAATATTGATTTTGTTATAAGAAAATCAGTAACTTAAAATCAAACAATCATTTTGGGGCCCTTTATAGCTTGCTGTTCGGTGTGAGCCAAGGCTCCGTGTTGAAGGCCGTACTTTGACCTATAATTGTTTACTTTTTACACATTGTGACTTGGATGGAGAGTTGTCTCATTGGCACTCATACCACATCTTCTTATTTCTAAATATCCTTTTTATATACATATGCACATTCATGGCTCTACAATACCTGTATATTGGCATTGCACAAAGTCATGTTTTTCTCTGACTGTTAATGACATCTTAACACTAAATCCATTGGATGTTGGATGTGTACTGATTGATATTTTAGTCTTGGATGCATGATCTTTTTTATTAGTTGTTATTGGCTTTGAACTAGCTACCGGTAACTGCAAGTACTCTCAGATCCGTACTTTAAAGTCTTTTTGTTGTGGGAATGTATAAGTACCCTGCCGCGTCCATTCTTTGTTTTTATGCTTTGTATCCGTCTGAAGAGTTGAGCCCTTTTCAACTGATTTTAATAGTTTGTTCTTATGTTGTACATTTACTCCACTGTCCGAGGTTAGGGGAGGGTTGGCGCCTTCAAACTAGGTTAACCCTGCACATTCTATATGTGCCTGTCTCAAAGTCAGGAGCCTGTAATTGATTGGTTGTGGTTTTTTGCTGTTTATCATATTTGTTTTTCGTTCATTATTTTGTACATAAATAAGGCCGTTAGTTTTCTCGTTTGAATTGTTGTACACTTGTCATTTTATAGCTGACTATGCTCATATTTGTTATTCGTTTATTGTTTTGCATAGTTTGTTCTTATGTTGTGCCGTTGCACCACTGTCCCAGGTTAGGGGAGGGTTTGGCTCCAACAAACTAGTTTAACCCTGCGACAATCTGTTTGGCGTCTCAAGACAGGAGCCTGTAATTCAGTGGTTGTTCTTTGTTGCTGTTTATCATATTTGTTTTTCGTTCATTATTTTGTACATAAATAAGGCCGTTAGTTTTCTCGTTTGAATTGTTGTACATTTGTCATTTTATAGCTGACTATGCGAAATGGGTTTTACTCATTGTTGAAGGCCGTACCGTGACCTATAGTTGTAATTTTCTGTGTCATTTGGTCTCTTATGGAGAGTTGTATCATTGGCAATCATACCACATCTTCCTATATTTAAATATATATAGCCCAGTTGATACGATATTCCAGAGCTTGCATTTTTCCTTGATAGAGGGTTGCTCTTTACAAGGAAGCTATTATAAAACCAAGAGTTCCTAGTGGTCTCATCTCTTTGAAAATTGACGGACACCATCACATCACCTCACATAACATAGTTTTGTTAATAAGGGGTTCGTGTTTCTCTTGTTTTTCTTTGTGCTTTTTACTTTTTGAAAGTATGTGATGTTTATAGCAGTAACAGACTTGTCTACCCTTTGTCGTGAAAAAGTTAATTTTTTATTAAATTTTCACATTTGAGTAAGTTTCAGGGTTAGAAAATTTAAATGAACAATGGTTTATGAATTTGGTGCTGTCTTAGGGTTAGCTATGAGTCAATCACCAATCTGCTATTTACTGATGCCTAATCACTTGATAGAATGTATCAACATATTTTATAGAAGTAGTATAGCAGGTGTAACATGTGGAGCAGGATCTATTTACCTTTCCAGAGCACCTGAGATCACCCCCAGTTTTTGGTGGGGTTCGTGTTGCTCAGTCTTTGATTTTCTATGTTGTTTTGTATATTGTTGTTTGTCTTTTGATCGTTTTTAGGTTTTTTGCCATGACATTGTCAGCTTGTGTTCAACTAACAAGTTTGAATGCATGTCCCTTTGGTATCTTTTGCCTCTCTTTTAATAGTCAATCAAAATTGAAGAAAACTGTGAGAACTATCTATCACTTCAGATTACCTAAAATTTATTTTTAAATTAAAATTATTTTTTATCACGTTGCAGATTTTACCGTGTTTATTTAAAAGGTGGTTCCATTAGGTATAATGTTAAAAATAGCAAGTTTAATGAAAAGAAATGGTGTGAATTAATTGACTATGACAGCAGCTGGTCTGGTTCATAATTCATTTTAAACAACCATACTTTAAAAGAGAATTAAGGCCATCATTGTCAAGGGTCTTTTATTAGGCTCAATGACACAATTATCTACCTTTGATTTTAATCTACAAATATAGTCCCTAGTGTGGACAGTGTATTACTTGCAAATATTTTTTCATACACCTTTCTAATCTAATTCTTCATGTTTTATGCCTAAAATAGGGGGAAGCAATTACAGTGTTAAAAATGAATTTTAAGATAAAATAGTGATTTGGTCAGTTGAAAAAGGTCAAAAGTTAGTATGCCTGAAGCTGTCAAACAGAATTCAAGACCCCCCTCAACATAAAATTGTCTATATTTTGAGTAAGAGATGACGAAGTTTTTTATCATTTTGATATTATTTGTCCTAAGAGTAGTACAATACACTGTTAAATATTTTTGAAAAAGCGCAGGTGCGAATTTTTTTAATATGCATTTATTGTTCAATGATGCACTACAACTAATTGTGTTAGCAGGCCATTATATTTGTATGTGAGTAAATTGTATTGTTAATGTCAAATGAATGGCTGTTGTAGTCATAAACTGTGCCTCCCTCTATAAAGGCATAAATCATTTAAAGATGAATACCGGTAAAGGTAATAGATATGGAAATAGGGCTGGTAAATTTTGCAAAGGTAATGGTTAAGTGTCTCCTGCTTTGCCTGCATGAACTGCCATGTGAACCTAGACTATTGTAAATAATATCAAGATAGGGAATAAGACACAATAAAATTTACAGATATGATGACTGTATCTTCGGGTCTAAAACCATAGTAACATGTGTGTTGTGTTAAGGGCATGAAGTATTTCAAAATTTACATTTTCATGGTCATTGCATCTTGGTGATAACTCAGATATCCTCTGACCCCATTACCATAAATATTGATTTTCCAATATTCATTGTTTATTTGCACTTAATGTATACTTTATAAATGAGTACCGGTATAAAGAGAGAAAATCTATATGCTTCTGTCCTATTGTCATATTCATGATGGTGATTAAAGGTGAATCTTAAAATCATTTCCACAGAAAATTATTCACAATCTCAAAATGTATTTCCTACCTATTTTATTTTCAATAGAAAAGGCCCAACTGATTGTTCTTAGGACAAATCTGATAATACAGGCTTACACTTTGAATGGTAGGAATTTAAAACTATAATACCATAGGTAAATATTTTAATTACATTCGATTATTTTCTCCGTCCATAATTTTTCCTGACTTCATTAGGATTCCTCTTGTTAAACTGTCCAGTTCTACCACTTCTGATTCCCAGTTGTGATGCTCTACTAGTAATGTCAGTAACAGCAAAGGGAGAATACCCCGCCACATAATCTGGGTCGAACACATCAAGTTTCTGCTTTGACTTTTTTGTTGTTCGCTGCTGTGGAAATGGTTGATCAGCACACAATATAGGATTCTGGGAATGCTTACCTCCCTTTGGTAGTGGTAATGCATACTGAAAATATATTGAAATTTTTTTTGAAATTAAAATGTATTTTTTTAAAAGTGTTTCAAAGACTGTAATATACATGTATACTTTTTTATTTACAAGAAAGACAGGACAGTCTAACTTAAATTAAACATTATTTTACAATATAGGCACTTCTTATATAGTAAAGAAAAAAGAATCACACTTTTAATTTAGAAGTTGTATTTCAAAAACATTTTCAATTTAAAAAGTTTCCTTTTTTCAAACTAAGATGAGTAAAATTTTACCTTCAAACCTCGAGTGTTTGCAGGTTTCCGTCTGGATAGAAAATATCTTATACTGCCATCTTCTTCTACTATCATGGAAACCTTTCTTAATGCATTGTTACCACAAAAGGGACAGAACTCCTTCAGCACGTTGGTCGTCACCCTGTAAATATAGAACAAGTATACACTGTAACACTTCATAATATACATGTCAAAAATAGTGTGCTTTCTCAAGCTAATAAAAATGAAAGGATGCACATCTTATAGACATATTCTAATAAAAATTATGCTTTGTAGTTCTTGCTTGTTAACAAAATAAAATCTGTGGAGAAAATGTTTGGTCATACTTGTATTAAAATTTGCAAATTTAGATGCCAATTTTGCCAAACACAGACTTTTATCAGTAATATACAAGCAATTTGATAAAATGTAACAAGTTAACATCAAACAGGTATTTTTTTCCTGTATACAATACTTGATATAACTGGCCATTCTATCAATTTCAAACAAATCAAATCTACGGGACGAGTGAAATTTGACCACATTCTAACTTAAAAAATTAGACTTTTGGAATTAAGGTTATTTCCAGGAAAAGGGAGAAAAATTATTGTTTTGAAGTTGGTACTTCTCAGTCGTTTTAGTGCTCCTGTTTTAATTGAAGTTTTACATTTTTAACTTTCATTTCTAACAATGGGCTGTAAAAGAAAACTCTTAATTTGTAAGAAAAAAAACACCTACAAAACTAAGAAAAATTCTTTCATTTTATTGCACATATACTTACTTCATACAAGCACTGCATCTAAGTACATAACTTTTTGCTCTTTTTATCAAAAGGCCATCTACTGATATAACATTGAGTCCCATCTGAATCAAAACATTCTGAAATATAAACAACCTTATGTTAAAATATAAACACATGTAAAAATCAAATCATAGACTAATACATTTGTACATAATTTGAAATAATTCAATACTGATGAAGAATATCTGTTATCCAAAATATTTATTGATATTTGTATTTATTTACATTTTCCTTTTTTGATATTGGTTTTGTTATACACTTTTTAGATGTGTACTAAATTTATTTGTTGTGTAAAGTATCGTTTTTCATTATGATCCTATGCCCTTGTAAGATAGATTGTTAAAGTCACATGATCATGATGATAGTCTAAGCACATTTTTGGGTACTAAATATATCCTGTATGTAATATTCTAATGGATTCTTTTTTAACGAAAATCTCTTAACAATATGCAAGACTTTCCTACTTAATAATTTTTATAACAATAGAAAAACATTGACATGGTATATCTACAAGATGGAGACGTCTTATTTCCACAACAACCACTAACTGGATTCAGACTATTTTTGATAATTGACTTGTCATTGTGCATATCTTATTTTTGTTTTGATTATTCAAATAATATTTGGGTGGTCCATTTAATAAAATGCCTTGGCAAAAGTATGGAATTATCATCTACACATGTGCAAAGGTAGTAGGCATATCTTGTATCCTCAACCGATCTTTAACTAGTGGTTTAATTTTAAAGAAGCTTTTAAAGAATCTTTAAAGTGTGGGTGCGTGGTTCAGTGGTTAAGACCTTTGGCTAGAGTACTGAGAGTCCCGGGGTTCAATCCGGAGTCTGGGTGTTGGAAATTTCAGTACATTAGAAGGGTGATTTTCATCTTCCCACACACATCTCTTGTACCTAGACCAGAATTTAAACCAGCTTTGACCTGGAGATCAATCTGTAGATATCTCTTTGATATGTCTGTTTCCGCCCAGGAGCCTGGTGCTCTCCAAGAACTTTGGCTTCCTCCACCATAATAAGACTTCACGGTGTCCTAATGCTCCTTTGGTGTTGGGTTGGGTTTGTCCGTGGTGGTGGGTTGTATATAAGTTAGTAACACATTTCAATTTATCCTTATAGGGAGTGTACACGGATTCCACTGTACCCTCGTAGCTCTTGAGGGGTGCTTCGCATATCTGAGGAATTTACGTAAATACATACAATACCTAATCTTTGCATATCATATTCTATTTTCTGATCGGAGTGGTATTTGGGGTTTCCCATACCAAAACGTGGCCTTTGTGAAATCTAAACAAATGGAAGTGTGTTTTATCACTTTGTTAGCTCTACTCACAGTTTTTCATGGGTCAAATCATTAATTTAAAAAGTATTGAAAACATGTTTGCTTTATATGCCAATCATACTAATGTACAGTAATTTGCCAACCTGAATAGCAAAATCCATGGTGAGACATCCAACCATGACATCAGCTTCTTCTGAGGGTACTTCTCCCATCTTCTGTTTAACTTCTTGTATATTACATGGTGTTATCCAACCATCATCATCGTCATCACTATCATCCTCATCACTCGGTTCCTCTTCTTCCTCTGAATCCCCTTCCAACAATGTGCCCTGAATTATCTCCCCTTCAGATGGAAAAGCTTGCACTTCCTCTTTATCCTGTACATTGTCTAAATTCTCACTTACATTTGTGCTTTCTGATAAATCAGAATTGTTAATGTCTTTTGCATCTTTAATTTGTACTGTCACGTTTTCTTTTAAATCTGGTTCAGAATTTTCTTGATTTGATCTGTTGTCATCTGACTCATTATGTAAATCTGATTCATTATTTCTCTTTACTGTATCACATGACTCCTGGTCTAGACTTTCTTTAGGAAGACTTGACTGTGTAGATTTTTCAGAAACTGATGTTGTTCTTGAATTACCAGCACTTTTCTGGAGAAAAAAATTTATGTTCTGAACATACATAGTTTACTTTGGAATCAGTTAAATCAACGGTTACAAATATCTAGTAGCAATAAGTGATCATGCAAATAAAGTAGTATACTACAACTTTCAGAACTATTTACATTTTATTTGCCTTTGCTATATTTTATCCATATTTCATTAACAGACATGATCATTTCAATATCCCAATATTTTAAGTAGAAATACAGCTAATAATCTACAATTTGTACATTTTCCTATTGCTCTTATTGCCTAATATTTTTTCAGATCCTGGACAGCACCTGATACTGGAAAATACAAGGCAATGACATCAAGTAGAAGTGCAGCAACGTCACATGTCAATCCACTTCACTTCATCAATGAAATGTATGTGACTTCATTCATACAATCATTCAACTATCACAATGTTTTGTACGCATAAAAAAGTTTTACTACCTATTTCATTTTATTTCATATTCTCAACACAAAAAACATATTGTTAAAACAATTTGCTGATAAAAAATATGGATTTTTTTTTGTATACCGACTTCCATCAGCTCACCCTAGCGTGCTCACTTGTTATTCTTGTTGATAAAGTTAGTATCAAAAGCAAAAGCACTGTTTTTCTATACATCTCCTGCGTAAGCTGTATACATCTCAGCGTCAATTTTCTGTGCAGTTTCCTTGACAGAGTGAAACAAACTACTCTGTCAGGGTTGTATCATCACTGAAGAAGTTTTATAGTTGTCTTCACCAGTTAACTACAGGACTTTATTAATGAGATAACAGAAGATATTTTTCCTTAATGTTTCTATATTGGATTTGACTTGTTAACAGTTCTGACTACAGGGCAATATAACAGATACTATGAGTAAGTTAGGTTATTTGTGGGAGTTTGTTTTGCCTAAAATCTTTACATGATTAACTTGAGCTAATCTTGATCTCTTTTAGTCACTTTATTACCCTTCTTGTCGCTACTCAAAGTATGCTACCATTGGTTAATTTACTTGAAGGTGTTCATACAAAATGTCAAGCTCTAAAACATTCAGTCTAGAGTAATTAAACAACTATCAAAGTTCTATCATAAACATTAAAATCTGACATAAGACAATTACCGACAATATTCCTGACTTGGGCCAGGAACAAAAATATATATAATAGGTTTAACTCAGTTTATTTAATCTCTCAGCCTTCTTGAGCTCCTGATATCATAAGAGTTTGTTTTGCCAAAGCTTTTGTTTGCAATGTTCTCTGTGCTAGATATAAGAAGATGTGGTATGAGTGCCAATGAGACATCTCTCCATCCAAGTCACAATTTGTAAAAGTAAACCATTATAGGTCAAAGTACGGTCTTCAACACGGAGCCTTGGCTCACACCGAACAGCAAGCTATAAAGGGCCCCAAAATTGACTAGTGTAAAACCATTCAAACGGGAAAACCAACAGTCTAATCTATATAAAATAAATGTGGATAGTGTCCACATGTGGACACAGATGATGCCCCCGCTTGCATATCATATAGTTATAAAGGGACATAACTGAAGAACGGTAAAAGTGACGCTAACCAAATTTGAACATGATCTGAGTTTTGTGGTAATAAGCATTGTGTGTAAGTCTCATAACATTTGGTTGAGGCTAACTTAAGAAGTAAAACAGAAACTAAAAATTCAGCAATTTTTCTATTTTTAAACAGGCATAACTCTAGAACGGTTGTGTATAAGTTTTATAACATTTGGTTGAGACAAACTAAAGTTAAGAGAACGGAAACGAAAAATTCAGCAATTTTTATGTTTATAAAGGGACATAACTCAAGAATGGTAAAAGTGTAGCCACCAAATTTTGTACTTAATCTGTATTATGTATTAATAAGCATTGTGTATAAGTTTCATAACATTTGATTGAGGCAAACTAAACTTAGAAAACGGAAACAAAAAATTTGTTCTTGATCTTAGTTTTGTGGTTATGAATATTGTGTATAAGTTTCATAATGTTTGGTTGGGGCAAACTTAAGTTAATGAATGGAAACAAAAAATGTTGCAATCTTTCGATTTATAAAGGGGCATAACTCAATAATGATTAAAGTGACACTACCCAAATTCAACTTGATCTGTGTTTTATCAGTGAAAATCAAAATTAAACATTGCATTATATAAAGCATTGATTGTAGTTGATTTTCCGTAGAAAAGAGAGAAAATTTATCAATAGAAGTTGTAAGGATTTTTATTCATTAGGAAATCCAGGCCGTCCGTTTGGGAGTCCGGGATATACACATACGCAGTCACGTTCGGTCAGAATATGGACGTTAAGTCTGATGCCTCGCATAGAGAGAGTGTCATGCAAACTTTCAATTAAACAATCAATCAATCAACCAACCAACCAACCAACCAACCAACCAATCAATCAATATGTTTAATACGTGGTCCATGATCTCATTTGTTTCTTTTTCGCTGGTTCCAAGAGACCCTATCCCATGTGTTTAATTAGTATATCAGTCAACCAACCAACCAACCAATCAATCAAGCAATCAATGTTTCGGAGGGGAAAGACTGTTAACAATTGTTTTTAAAACAATTGATTTATATTTTTATAAATATACCCAAGTTTGAAGAGACCAACAACTGTACAGAAGACATGAATAAAATAAGATCTTCAGATGTATAAAAACATATTCCAGTAATATTTGGATTACAAGTACATGTGGTCAAGGGCAGTGACGGTACTGATGAAAATCTGTAGTTAGTATTGTTTTAAATATGACTAATGCTGCTATCTAATAATATTTCTTACTGTTTTAGACAAATAAAAGCCTGCTATGTCTGTAGGTTTCTCCAACATCTTTGTTGTGGCATTCCACTCAATCTGGAAAAGAAAGCAATCATCACCTGAAGCTAGTTATTTGCATTACAATTCACTATTATTGGTGATTAATATTAACCTTATTTTGAGATTTCTACAGCAAATCCACTTATTAATTAATAAAGTAATTTCAAGTTTACAAAGGAGTTGGTTCACTAACTCATTAGTTTGGACCTAAAAATCTGAAAATTTCTAATTGTGATAATGTTGTGAAAATTTGATGAAAACATATCTTAAAGTGTCTTATTATTACAGTTAAAGAAGATTTTAACCAATTAAGTCACCAGTGATGTATTTGTGACTTCATAAATGCAGGTGAATTTCTTTTAAAACTTATTCTTTGCATAGTTTTGAAAAATCGATGATAGTTTTCTAAAAAATTAAGTGACACCTTGCCAACAATTATTCATGCTGAAATATTCTTTTTATATACCATATTCCTTACTTTTTAAACAAAATTTCAATGGGCGAGGGGTGGCAACACATTCGAAATCATGTAAAAAAATGTCAATAGGGTGACATACTTTTATAATCAAAGTGCTTGTGAGCACTAAAGGGTAAAGATTGTTTTCATTTTGCAGTTGGAACTTAAAATTATATTATGCATTGAATGCAATCCTATGAATTGGTTCAACTGCAATTATGGACAAAGGAAGATAACTGCAATCTTAAATGTTACTTTAACAATGACATGGTTGATGTTTATAGAACTAATGAAAAAGGTGCTATTATTAAAAGTGTGAAACTAAAATTTTAAAGTGCGTTAAATAAGAGAATATTAATCTCTTTCTCTTAAAGTGGTTCATATTTGCATACTTAATTTAATCATTAAGGCAGAATATGAAAAAATGCTGACATCTTGTAAAATATGAAATTGCCCGCCCTTGACCCTTCACCATACATGCCATCATTTGACAGATATTGCACCATACGAATATTTGACAACCAGGCAAAAAAGATAGTACAGATGATATGCTTTGGAATGATATATGATTTAGCCATAAATTAGGTGAGTGCATTAAAGTCTAATTTTATATAATGAAATGTTATGGTTAAAACTTGTCTAATACATACACATTAGATTAACATAAAAAAATTAAGTTTAAAAATACACCTTTACAGGGTGTTTGTTTAATCAAGTTTAGTATATTTTCTTCTCTTGAGTCATTAATACCATAAAGCTCCATTATAGAAATAATGAATCTCTCCAAATAGCATAAATAGAGATTAATGAACTTTAGGCATAAGTTAAAAAGGTCACTGTAAAATGACATTATGAACATAGCTGTAAAAAAATTGTTTAAAAGATAGAACTTCATCAAATTTGTTCTTATTCATGTAATTTTGGACTACTGTTAACTTTTTAAAAACTTGTTCATGGTACTATTTTTTAAGCTTTTACATGTATTACAACAATGGTGGAAACAGAAAATCCATATCAACCTCTACGCAGTTAGCAATAATTTCAATTTGCAACCACTTCTTCATTCAATTATTTATAGAATAACTAATCGAAGAATTCAAATAGAGAAAAATATTCGAGTGACCGAACAACACATTAATTCACGAATGCGCATAGCGCATGAGTTAATTATCAGTGTTGTTCGGTCACGAGTTGAATATTTTTCGATATTTGAATTCTTTGATTAGTTATTCTTTTTATTACATTGGAAAATGGCTTTTTGTGAAATTAAAGTAGAAAATGTAAGGAACTATATCGTTTTCTACGCATTCACAATTTGTTTTGATCCGATGTTATAGACGTCTTGACAACGCCTATTGTTGTATGACGTCAGAGGAGTGAAATAACCACGTTTATTTCACATGTGAAATTATCGGTTTTTATTTCACTGGGTAATCAATGTAATTCATTGCAACCAATGTAATAATTTGTTTTTAATTACAAACTACTTTTTAGGTGTAAAAAATGTTGTCTTATGTATTCGATGTCAGTTTTAATGATAGTGTCTCATAAGCCGTTTTCCGCTTGCATCTTTTTAGGTTTTTATGATATTGTGTATATATATAAATATTGTGAAGGATGGTGACACTTTAATAAAAATAAATTATCTATCTTATCTACATGCTTTTTCCATTTTGTTTTGTAATTAAGGCATAATTTTTTTTAAGAAACAATAAAAAACATTAAAAAAATCTAAATTAATATATACCTTTCTTTCTGGAACAGTTTTGATATGCTCTGATCCAACATGTTCTTTTTCTAACTGATAAGTCAAAGCCATCACTTTGATATCAACTGCTGACAAACTTTTATAATCACCAGTCTTCTTGGAAAAATTACTTACTGAAAAAAATTAAATGACAGATGTGTCTCAGATTCCCTGATGGCCTGTCTTTACAGCATAACACAATGAATATAAATGGAAGACATAATAAAATAAACTGCTTCGCTGAGCACAGCTGGATACGACCGCAGAGGTCCAACCCTGAACAGTTGGGGTAAAAATGGACACAATATTCAAGCTTGATACAGGTCTGAATTTGGATTGTAATTAAATATTTTACACATTATATGTTATACATGTTATAGGTTTCTGACACAGAATAAATGTAGTCAAAGAACTTGAAATTGGTTATATGATTTGAATTTATATTCAATTGAAGATTTCTTGCTGTTGTGCAATACACTATGCTGTTGCGCAATATTTAGTAAATCTGTTTTCAGACTATATACAAAGAATTAGCAAAATAAATTGTGACCCACAATTTTTTTTTGGAAAATTGACAATCCAAACCTTTCTTAAGTGGTATTGAACCTTTTGGTAAAATTTCATAGAGATCCATACACTGAAACTTAAGTTATTGTCCGGAAACCAAATGTCTTCGGACGACGACGACATGATAGCAATATACGACCCCAAAATTTTTTTGCGGTCATATAAAAATAAATCTACAAAATAAAACCTACCAATCTGTAAGCTTTCCTGTGATGGTGTTCTGTACTCTATTTTGTATGGCAGGACCTGTAATCTTTGAAGTGTAGCTTTATCCTTGATTTCCTTTACCACCTCTGGTATTGTGTAAATGTGCTCACCAATGCTCTGTTTAAAATACACACAAAGAGTTTTAATCATCAAGTTTATCAGTAAATTAAACCTTTAACCTTAAATATATATATAGATGTACACAAGGTTGGGTACCATCCCATGTATTTACCCATTAGCCACTAGTCCAATGCCCCAGAACATTAAAATTTTATGACGGTGACCTAAATGTATAGTTGTTAATTTCTGTGTCATTTGGTCTCTTGTGGAGAGTTGTCTCATTGGCAATCATACCACATCTTCTTTTTTATAGTAAGTTTTGGAAAATTTGTTTAGACACATAAGAAAAATGTCGGAATATTGGTCTTCAGACTAGTAGTCGGAAAAGATTTTGCTGCAGACTGCAGACTGCCCCGGGAAATGGTACATGTATTTACCGCCCCAGTCAATACTTCTTAAGTGTTCAATACTGACCATGCTGACAAATACTGGTCAATTAAAATCTTATTGTTCTTTTAACAGACGTTACAATATATTATTAAATTTATAATTAAGATCCATTTATTACATCGGTGATCCATTTATTTGGCAATCGCCAATGGCAGTCAGCAGGGTTTAAGAACATTTGTTGTTCGACCTGTTAGTCAAATGCGTTTTGTTAAAATATACTTTTTCACTTTTTTGGTCTTTTGGAAAATGTTGTTTGTGCTGTATTTAGACCCCTCTAACAAGAAATTTGTTTTGCATGCACACGTATAAAAATTGCGGTTTTTATCCAACGCAATCATAGGTTTGAACGTTGTTTTCAATTTAGACTTGTATATATATATATATTTATATATATTTAATAAAATGCTCCGCAGGGCGCAGCTTGATACGACCGCAGAGGTCGAACCCTGAACAGTTGGGGCAAGTATGGACACAACATTCAAGCTTGATACAGCTCTGAATTTGGATTGTGATTAAATATTTGACACAGCATAGGTTTCTGACACAGAATGAATGTGGTCTAAGAACTTAAAAATTTTAAATTGGACATTCACCTATTATGGTCCAACATCCAAAATCTAAATATATGGTTAGATTCAGCATATCAAAGAACCCCAAGAATTCAATTTTTGATGAAATCAAACAAAGTTTAATTTTGGACCCTTTTGACCGCAATGTGAACAAAGTTGATAACGGGGCCCAAAAATCAAAAATCTAAATACATGGTTAGATTCAGCATATCAAAGAACCCTAAGAATTCAATTTTTGTTAAAATCAAACTAAGTTTAATTTTGGACCCTTTTGACCTTAATGTAGACCAATTTGAAAACGGAACCAAAAATTAAGAATCTAAATACACGGTTAGATTCAGCATATCAAAGAACCCCAAGAATTCAATTTTTGATGAAATCAAACAAAGTTTAATTTTGGACCCTTTGGACCTCAATGTGGACCAATTTAAAAACGGGGCCAAAAAACCTCATTGAAATTGGTCAAGAAATAAGCAATTTATACGAAGTATCTTTTTTTGCACAATACTGTGCAATTGAATATTTCTTGCTATTGTGCAATACTGTACAATTGACAATTTATTGCTATTGCGCAAAATTGTGCTATTGGATATTTCTTGCTATTGCGCAATACTGTGCAATTGAAGATTTCTTGCTATTGCGCAATACTGTGCAATTGAAGATTTCTTGCTATTGTGCAATACTGTGCAGTTGAAAATTTCTTGCTATTGCACAATACTTATTATATAATAATTTACACATCCTGTTTGGTGTGTATCTCCTACCATATCATTATTATTTGCTTTTAAATATAAATCAGAAATAACCAACTTAAAATGGAAAATTTTAAAAGAAAAAAAAAAAAAAAAAAAAAAAGAAAAAAAAGGAAAAAAATAAAATCCCCCCCCCCCAAATTTTTTGAACCCCCTTATGATTCATCACCCCCAAACTCAATCTCAGCCTTCCCTTTGTGGTATGGTACCTTGCAGTACAATTTCAGAGAGATCCATACGCTTGAACACAAGTTATTGTCTGGAAACTAGAAAAATGTGTTTTTTGGCCCCTTTTTGGCCACAAATTCCTAAACTTTTAGGGCAATTACCCCAAAACTCAAACCAGCTTTCCCTTTGTGATATGGAACCTTGTAGTACAATTTCAGAAAGATCCATACACTTACACACCAGTTTTTTTTCCTGAAACTAGAAAAATGCTTGTTTTTTGCCCCTTTTAGCTCCCTAATTCCTAAAATTTTGAGGCAATTACCCCCAAAATCAATCCCACCATTCCCTATGTGAAATGGAACCTTGTGGTACAATGTCAGAGAGATCCATACACTAACACACAAGTAATTGTCTGGAAACTAGAAAAATTCGTAAGGGTTCCGCGGAACCCAGTGTCTTGCCTACTTTTGCTGTTAATCGCAGGCTCAACAAAAATGAGGAAAAAAATCAATAAAAATATTCCTTTAGATAGTATCTTTTGATTGTAAGAAGCTTCTGTCAAAGTTTGGTATAAATCCAGGATAGTTTATGAATATAATAAATGTTTTAAAAACTTTAACTGCAAACTGTATTTAATGTTAACTGGAAGAAAAACTAAGTCCATTTATAAGTAAAATACGGATAAACAGGTACTAATTTTAACAAAATTTCCTTCTAGATACTAGCTTTTGATCATAAACAAGCTTCTGTCCAAATTTGGTACAAATCCAGGATAGTTTAAGAAAGTTATTAAAATTTTAAAAACTTTAACCACAGAGTGAATGTATTGTTTCCTGGCAGAAAAACTAAGTCCATTTATAAGTAAAATACGGAAAAAATTAAATTTTTTTTTTAACAAATTTACTTCTGGATACTATCTTTTGATCATAAACAAGCTTCTGTCCAAGTTTGGTACAAATCCAGGATAGTTTAAGAAAGTTATTAAAATTTTAAAAACTTTAACCACAGAGTGAATGTATTGTTTCCTGGCAGAAAAACTAAGTCCATTTATAACATGTATAAGTTAAATACGGAAAAAATGAAATTTTTTTTTTTACCAAATTTACTTCTGGATACTATCTTATGATCATAAACAAGCTTCTGTCCAAGTTTGGTACAAATCCAGGATAATTTAAGAAAGTTATTAAAATTTTAAAAACTTTAACCACAGAGTGAATGTAATGTTTCCTGGCAGAAAAACTAAGTCCATTTACAAGTAAAATACGGAAAAACAGGAATTTTATTTTTACAAAATTTACTTCTGGATACTATCTTATGATCATAAACAAGCTTCTGTCCAAGTTTGGTACAAACCCAGGATAGTTTAAGAAAGTTATTAAAATTTTAAAAACTTTAACCAGAGTGAATGTAATATTTCCTGGCAGAAAAACTAAGTCCATTTATAAGTAAAATACGGAAAAAATGGAATTTTATTTTTACAAAATTTACTTCTGGATACTATCTTATGATCATAAACAAGCTTCTGTCCAAGTTTGGTAGAAATCCAGGATAGTTTAAGAAAGTTATTAAAATTTCAAAAACTTTAACCACAGAGTGAATATTTGTGGACGCCGCCGACGACAACGACGCCGGAATGTAGGATCGCTATGTCTCGCTTTTTCGACTAAAGTCAAAGGCTCGACAAAAATGCTTATTTTTGGCCCCTTTTTCCTAAACGTCTTGGGCAATTACCCCCAAACTCAATTCCAGCTTTCCCTTTGTGATAATGAACCTTGTAGTACAATTTCAGAAAGATCCATACACTTACACACAACTTATTGTCATGAAACTAGGAAAATGCTTGTTTTTTGCCCCTTTTTTGGCCCCTTATTCCTAATATTTTGAGGCAATTACCCCCAAAATCAATCCCAGCTTTCCCTGTGTGATATGGAACGTTGTGGTACAATGTCAGAGAGATCCATACACTAACACACAAGTTATGTCTGGAAGTTACAAAAATGCTTATTTTTGGCCCCTAATTCCTTAACTGTTGGTACCAAAACCCCCAAAATCAATCCCAACCTTCCTTTTGTGGTATTGAACCTTGTGGTAAAATCTCATAGAGATCCATTCACTTAAACTAAAGTTAGAGTGCGAAAACCAATGTGTCTTCGGACAACGCCGGACGACGACGCCAACGTCATACCAATATACGACCGCAAAAATTTTTGCGGTCATATAAAAATTATAGTAAAGATTTATAGATGGGTTTAGTTTTATAAACTATATTCCTTTGGCGCGCATTATTCATTTAATAAAAATTCGTAAGGGTTCCGTGGAACCCAGTGTCTCGCCTACTTTTTCTGTTAATTGCAGGCTCAACAAAAATGAGGAAGTAAATCAATAAAAATATTCCACTTGATACTATCTTTTGATTGTAAGAAGCTTCTGTCCAAGTTTGGTAAAAATCAAGGATACTTTATGAATCTAATAAATGTTTAAAAACTTTTAACTGCAGACTGAATGTAATGTTAACTGGGAGAAAACAAAATTTCCTTCTAGATACTAGCTTTTGATCATAAACAAGCTTCTGTCCAAGTTTGGTACAAATCCAAAATAGTATAAGAAAGTTATTAAAATTTTAAAAACTTTAACCACAGAGTGAATGTGTTGTTTCCTGGCAGAAAATCTAAGTCCATTAAAAAGTAAAATAAGGAAAAAATGGATTTATTTTTTTACAAAATTTACTTCTGGATACTATCTTATGATCATAAACAAGCTTCTGTCCAAGTTTGGTACAAACCCAGGATAGTTTAAGAAAGTTATTAAAATTTTAAAAACTTTAACCAGAGTGAATGTAATATTTCCTGGCAGAAAAACTAAGTCCATTTATAAGTAAAATACGGAAAAAATGGAATTTTATTTTTACAAAATTTACTTCTGGATACTATCTTGTGATCATAAACAAGCTTCTGTCCAAGTTTGGTAGAAATCCAGGATAGTTTAAGAAAGTTATTAAAATTTCAAAAACTTTAACCACAGAGTGAATATTTGTGGACGCCGCAGACGACAACGACGCCGACGGAATGTAGGATCGCTATGTCTCGCTTTTTCGACTAAAGTCGAAGGCTCGACAAAA